CTGACCGTTAGCAACAAGTGGAAGAGCTCAGTTGTTAGACAGACAGGGCTTACTCCTTTCCAAGAGCTTCTCTGTGAACCCCAGGTAAGCTGGGCTGGACTGTCACCCAGCTGAGTTCACTCTGTTTTCCCAGGAGGCGCAAATGATAAGACCTCTGGTTTCCAGGGATGCAGTGCTGGCAGTTGTTCATGTTGTGGTGCTGGAGAGTTGTCAGCGCTGCTAGTGCAGCTGTTCTCGGAGCTCCGGTGTTAGCCGCACAAGCAGAGAATGCAGACTGCTGATTCCGCAGACCTCGAGTTACTCAGCAAGAAAGACCACAGGCTCGGTTTGATGGCAGAGGTGCTCGGCCAGGTTCATTGTTGACAAAGCACGGTGCCGGTGCCCCATAGGAGCTACAGATACACTAACACGTATGCCTGTGAGAAGGTACCAGTTCTGTCCCCTAGATCAATACAAAGATACCCCTCCTTCCACTCTCCTTTTATACATCGATACAAACAAGTTACATATTACATTCCATACGCTTTTCGTTATCAGCCTGTACCTTGTACCTGCGAGTTCGAACCAAACATTCTCATCCGTTATCCTGCCATCCCCTGCTTCTCTTACGAGGGGTCAGTGCGTCCCTGTACCAGCTCTTGGGAGTTTGTTTACGTAGTTACTCGGGGTGTTCTTGTTCCATCCTCGCAGGTCAGGAATGTGCTTATTTGGTTAGATAATCCCTAGTGTGTTACTGTTCTGCCAAGGGCGGGCCTGCTTTGGTTCACTTGTCAGCTCTGCCTGGGGCTCCAGGTTCATGTTTAACTAGTGAGCTAGGGTTGTGAGCATCTCCCCACTCCAGGAGCTCACTGAGATGTCGGAGGCAGCCAGTGTTTCATTCAGATTTGCGATCAATTCTCAGCAGGCCTGAAGGGATCAGGGTTGTCGACTTTCAGCTGATAACCTCAGGCAGGCTTGCCATGACGTGAAGAGTTTGGAGAAGACAAGTCAGAGAGAGTCTGCTCCCAATACTATGGGGAAGGTGCGTTTACCTACCAGCCCAGGGCTGAGTTCTAATCCCACTCCTCCCCTGATGGCTGCAAATACCTCCTCACCTGTATTGTGAGCCAAGGTGTCGCTGCTGCCTTGGCAAGGTAACGATAGCTCACCAAGATGACATGTGAGAATTCGCACCAAGTCACCGCAGGTAGAGCTGGGCGTAGATCCAAGGTCTCTACTCGGACAGCACATCCCACGGCTCTTGGTTTACCGCTCAGGGTACCTTCCCCTCATGTGTGGCAGGGACGGTATCTCTCACATAATGACTATTTTACCAGCGGTGCAGGAACCTGTGACTAACCTGCACCAAGCATGTGTTCCACGCTGGCAGTGTGATGCTTGGCAGGTCAGCTGGACACTGTGCGTTGTATCTCCCCTGTAAGGCATGGTCTACCCAGAGGAGAAGAGCGTTCTTTTCCTCCGGCTAGCGGCTCCTAGCCTATAGCTGAAGTGACTGCGGTCTGTCCTATAAAGCTGCAGGCTGTGGGTTCAGAACCTGGGGTGGAGGGTTGATACAAAGCTCCATTGTGTTGGCATGGGTTAAACAAGCTCCTAACTTGGCCTGTTTCTCTGAAAGACTGTGTGTCAAGGTGTATGAGATTTGGCTGCTCTATTAGAGACCAGGTTCTGTCCCAGCTCTGTATAGAGAGACTTCTTCTAAGCTCCGCTACCTGGGAAAGGGGCGAATGCTAAATTATCCCCAAGGTGGAGGCTGTGATAAGCCATCAGGGACAGAGCTGGGGCTGGAACGCGTGGTCTCCGGGCTTGCAGTGCAATGTGGGAGTCGATCCCTCTGATTTTTGCCTCGCCGGGATTGCTCGAAGGCTGGGAGTTTTTGGACCATTGTGAGATTGCCTGCAGCAGGGGCTGTGTCACTTGTGGTGACTTCGTTGTGCACAGTGTGTGTCTGGGCAGTGGGGGGGTATGGGGTTACACAGATCTATGGCTTTACGCTGTATTTCCTAGGTTTGTCTGGCTTTGAGTCCCTTAGCAGCCTGCTCTGTCTCTCACAAAGTGTTTCTTCGAGATTGAATTCCCTGTGGTTTCCAACGGGTGAAATCAAAGAGATTGAAAGGAGGGTATGGCCTGCAGCCCCGGGGAGACTCAGCCAGGCTTCTGGCATGGAGCATCTCCCCTGCACAGAATCTCCTGGCATGGGGAGATTTCTGGAGCTGAGCAGAGGCAGGAGGAGGCATAACAGAGACAGATCTGCACCCTGGCAATTCTTTATTGCTGTACTGCCCAGAGGGACTCTGGCAGCAGGGGGCGCAAGCCAGGGCAGCCTCCGGGCTGCTCTAATCTACACCTGGGGCTGATCCATTCTCCTTTGGCCCCAGCAGCGAGAAGGTGCCAAGCCTCCCCTCCCAGTCCCAATCCTGAGCCCCCTTCTTCCCCCCAACGTACTGTAGAAAATCCAGACCCTTTCAGTTCCATCACCCTTCTTTGCCGAGGAGACCTGGGCTCCCTGGGTCAGGTCCCTCCGGGCTGCTGTGCTGTGCGTGGGCTCTGAGGAGTCTGCCTTTTGCCCATAAGGTTCTGATGGAAGGTGAGACTCCCCAGGCGGAAAATCGGGAAGAAGGGATTTTTGGAACCACTGTAACTCAGCAGCTACTGTTGGAATCAGAAGCGTCTCTGAAAATTCAAACAAGCTCAGATTTCTCGTTCCAAGTAGTTTTTCTCAAAACAATAGAACTCAAAGATTGCAATGGTCCCATTGAAACAGAGCTGAAAAATTGCAGTGGTCCCGTTGAAAGGAATCGGTGGTGCAATCTCTGGCCTGGTCTGCACTTGATCAGGAGTGTGAAAAACCCTGTCTCCGGCAACAAACCCCCCAGTGTAGACACAGCTGTGGGGATGGAAGAATGTTTCCCTCATCGTAGCTACAGTCACTTGGGGAGAGGCTGTAGGCTGTGTCTATCCTACAGGGCTATGCCAGCATAGCTACGCTGGTATAGTCATGGTAGTGTAGACGTACTCTTAACCACGGAGCTGCCATCGGCACCTCCCGCATATAGCCGTCTGCCTCCCTAGATCTCAAAGGGCTTTGCAAAGGTGGGTCAATATCATTAGCCCTGCTTTCTAGCTGGGGAGAGTGAGGAGAAATGACCCGCCCAGGGCATGCAGGTTTAGAAGCCAGGTCTTGGTCCTGCACCGTGGTCAGGCCTTGCCTTCACGGCTGAGTTAACGCACGCTGTTCCTGACTCCCCTCGCAGCTGAGTCCATGGTGCGTTCAGCCCAGGCAGGGGCGCTGGAACACTTTGAATAGTGGGGATGCTGAAAGCCAGTCCCCTTCCCCTGTCCGCCCCCGCCCAGCGCTAGGGCCGGGAGCAGGGCCATGTCTCCGGGAGGGGGAGGGATCTGGACCGGCGTAATGGGGCCGAGGCTGCGGCCACAACTGTGGGCACGCATGGGGCCAGCAGCAAGGACCCCAGGCGTCGGGGGGCAGTGGAGGCCCGCGTCAAACATGGCAGTGCTGCAGCCCCCCCTGCACTCCTAGTTCCCGCGCCTATGAGCCCAGGCTGGCTGCGGGGGTGGGTTAGAGCTTGAGTGCTGCTTTCTCACGGGCTGGAACCCACCTGGCTTTGCAGTGAGGACGCAGGCTAACTCACGGTAGTGCCAGTAATCCTCCAGTGCCTTCCCACCATCCCCCGTGTGCCCCTGCCGACAGAGGAGCTGTCCAACAATTCACTGGGAGAGAACTGCACAGGAGCTCAGCTGTCTGCAGCCCTAAGAGCCACGGCGAAAGTCCTAGCACCACACCCGGGGGGAGCACGACCCCAGGGCGGACACGGTGTAATGTGTGTGTGGGGGAGCTTTGCAGTGTGGGTGCGCGGCCCCGGCCTAGGCTAACCCGGCTGCTCAGAGCTGGGGGGGCCGAACAGCCTCAGACCACAGTTCCTTTGGGATGTCTTTCTTTTACCAAGTCCAGGGAGTGAGAGTAACACAGGTAAGGACGTGGGTGTGCTGAAAGGACATCTCACCACTCTGTCCCTGCAACCAAGGAGTTCCACACGGCCGTGCTCCCCTGCGGTCTGGAACCAACTCGGAGTCTGCTTCCGATGCCTCAGGTGCACAAAAGAATGAAGGGTGTTGACATTCAAGGCACGTTATTCTGTGCAGAGCTGCTGCCTGTTTGCCAATTCCCAGCGCAGCTCGGCAAAGAATTTGAGATTGGATTGTTCAAGTCAACAGCTATCTTGACACTGGTCCCCCGTAATACAGCCAGAAGAGATCCTGGACTCTAGCTTGCTGAATGCAACTGGGTATTGCAGGATCTTTCCAATGATTTAAACCGGGGGGTGTCAAAAAAACATCAAAGCTTAAACAGCAAAGCCCTCCGGGAGTGTTAATAGTAAAACCTACCGAAGCCTTCACTAATTGCTGATCATTGTAGTGAGGGACTGGGGAAGGAAAGAGGGGGAGCCCATGGTGGGGGGAACTAGGAGTCACTGATGGGACGGGGACACAGATAAGACAGCCAGGGAAGGGGGCGGGGAGGATGGGGATGGAAAAGCAAAAGGCCACAGCCGCGGGGCTCTAACTGAGTGGTGCTGAGTGTGACAGTAAGGTGCTGAACACAGATAATAACGAAGTTTACTCCAGAGAGGCCATATTCTCCCTTTGCTCTTTGTGGAACGAGGGGTCGGGGCGAGGGGGTATCCTCTATGGAATGAAGAGGGGGTGCGGTCCTAAATGTATACTGAGCTGTCATTCAGCCTGGAAGTGCCCGGCTGTAGAAGGAGTTGGATGCCCTAGGTGACACTGACGAGCAGGCGTACAGGAGACTGCCCGATGACAAGGACATGGTTTTGGAGGGTTGCTTTGCCTCTCGCCAGTGCCCTGGGCTAGGGGAGGCTGGTTCATGGGCATGAAGACAGACATGTCACATGACCCTTCCCGCCGTGGTTGGTGTTGTGACATTGATACTAAGTGTTTTCTTTTTTACGTCTCTCTTGTTCCAGGTGTTTACACTGAACCCTTTTGAAATGAATGGTCTGCCCAAGGCGGTGCCTTTAAATTTGCCTTATCAAGACTTTAAAAGGGATGTGTCAGACTCTAGGGAAAAGCCGAGGTTCCTCCAGCGGATAAAAAAGGTGGACTTCTCAAACATTGTCTTGACCGCTCCTTGCAAACCGCCAGCGCCCCGTCTGGAACTGAACGGGGAGTGTGAGGAGGAAGAGGAGGAGGAGGATGAAGAGGAGGAGGACGAGGAGGAGGAGGAAGCTGGTTATCTGGGAGAAGAGATTGACATGCACAGTAGCTCCAGCAGCGACGTGAGTCAGAAAAGCACGGAGCGCAGTCAGGAAGGGGCGCCATCCACTCTGCTGGCCGATGATCAGAAAGAATCCAAGGGCCGTGCTTCCATGGCCGATGGCGATTTAGAACTGGAGGAAGGCTCCAAAACGCTGGTGTTGTTTTCCCCGGGTGACATGAAGAAGTCTCCACTCACCACCGACTTGGCGCCAGACGTCGATCTGGGGACACTCGCTGCTTTAACGCCTCAGAGCGAGAGGCCCCAGCCCCTGGGCAGCCAGCTGGATGTGTCAGAGCCCGGGACCCTGTCCTCCATCCTGAAGTCCGAACCAAAGCCTCCAGCAGCCGTTTCCACGACGTCCTCCCCCTTTACCAAAGTCGAGCGCACGTTTGTTCATATTGCTGAGAAGACCCATCTGAACGTCATGTCTTCTGGCAGCCAGCTGGTGAGGCACGAGGAGTACGGCCCTCCGGGCCAACTGGAGGAGATCATCCTTGAGGAGGCGCTGGAGGAGAACCTGGGGTTGGTAGAAAATGGGAGTGCGAATTCTGGTTTAGAAGGGGGAGAAATGGAAAGCTGCGCGCTCTCGGTCAATCACATCGAAACCTCCTCGGAGATGGCAGGGGAGCCGCTGACGCTGCCCAACGGCGTGGCCCAGTCCCCGGAGGAGAGGCCGGAGCTTAAAGGCAAAGCCGCGCTGGCACTGGATTTGGAAGAAACTGGCCGGCTGGTTTCAGGAGAGCCTAGCTTAGAAAAGACCATGCTGGCGACCGAGCGCCTTACGCAAGCCGAGGCTCTCCTGGGAACGGTGAAGCAGGGCCCGAGGAAGCCTCTGAGTGCCAGATACAGAAGCCGGATTCCCATCTTGTTCTCCGAGGAGGACACCGGCTCAGACCTATCGGCCTCGCTCTCGGCCAAAGAGAGGCTTCACAAGAGGGCCAAGCAGCCTGACTTGGTTCGCCTAGTGATGGAGAGAAGGCAAAGCCGCATCCTCAGATTGGCCTCTGGCGCCTCCTCCTCGGCCTCCTCCAGCGATGAGCGGAGACGTGCCTCGGAGACCCTCTCGGCCACCGGCTCGGAGGAGGACACCCATGACTCAGACGACTCCGTCCCAAGGAGGACGGGGGAGGGGAAGGCATCCCACCCGGGAAGAGAGGGGAAAACTTTAAGCACAAAGAGCAGAATCCCTCGGCCCATCGTGCCTGCGAGGACGTTGCCAGCAGCAGTGAAGTTTGGGAGTCCAGCAGCATCGGGCAGCTCGCCGCTCGATGCAGCTCTCACCGCCAGGTCAGTCACCGGCATGGCCCTCGCTTCTCACCGTGCAGGTCTCCCATCCCCTGTTCCCTCAGCCTGGCTGTGGACGTCCCCCCCCCCACAACCACCCATTCCCTCAGCCTGGCTGTGGGGTCCCCCCCACACAACCCCCTCATTCCCTCAGCCTGGCTGTGGGGTACCCCCCCACAACCCCCTCATTCCCTCGGCCTGGCTGTCGGGGTCCCCCCCCCACAACCCCCTTATTCCCTCGGCCTGGCTGTGGGGTACCCCCCCACAACCCCCTCATTCCCTCGGCCTGGCTGTGGGGTTCCCCCCTACAACTCCCCCATTCCCTTGGGCTGGCCGTGGGGTTCCCCCGATCCCCCGTTCTCTCAGCCTGGCCGTGGGGGTAACCAACTCCACGTTCTCTTGGCCTGGCCGTGGGGTGTCCTTCCACCAAACCTCCTTCGCTCAGCCTGGCCATGGGTGCCCCCCACCAGCCCCCAGTTTGCTCGGCCTGGCTGTGGGGTTCCCGTCTCCACTCGTCTCCCAGCTGTGTTTAGCTCTCAGCTCCCAGCAGCCCGGGCCTGGCCCTGGAGCCGAGTGGGGCGGGGTGGCTGCCTATGGAGAGTCGCCAGGTGTCCGGTTTTAGACCAGAACCCCCGGTCAAAAAGGGACCCGGGCGGCTCCGATCAGCACGGCTGACTGGGCCGTTAAAAACCCAGTCGGCGGCGCAGCAGGGGCCCGGGGCTAAGGCAGGCTCCCTGCCTGCCCTAGCGCCACACGGCTCCCGGAAGTGGCCGCCAGGTCCCTGCAGCCCCTAGACGCATGGAACCGCAACCAATGGGAGCTGCGGGGGCGGCACTTGCAGGCGCGAGGGCAGCATGCGGAGCCTCCCTGGCTGTCCATGCACCTGGGGGCTGCAGGGACCTGGCGGCCGCTTCCCAGGAGCTGTGGTAAGAGTCACCAGGACCCCACACCCCAAACCCTCTCCTGCACCCCAACCCCCTGCCCCAGCCCAGAGCCCCTTCCTTCACCCCAAACCCCACATCCCCAGCCCCACCTCAGAGCCTGCGCCCCCCAGCCAGAGTCCTCCCCCCCTGCACCCCAACCCCCTACTCCAGCCTGGAGCCCTCTCCTGCATCCTGAACCCCTGAGTTCTGGCCCCACCCAGAGCCCACACCCCCAGCCCAGTGCCCACACCCCCTCACACACGCCTGCCCCAGCCTGGAGCCCTCTCCCACACCCCAAACCTCTCATCCCCACCCCCACCCCAGAGCCTGCACCTCCAGCTGGAGCCCTCACCCCCCACACCGCATCCCAACCCCCCTGCCCCAGCCCAATGAAAGCGAGTGAGGGTGGGGGAGAGTGAGCGACGGAGGGAGGGGGGATGGAGCAAGCGAGGGTGGGGCCTCGGAGGAGGAGCGGGGCCTTGGGGCAGGGGGCAGGGCAGAGGCGTTCGGTTTTGTGGGATTAGAAAGTTGGCAACTCCATGTCTGTAGTGATTAGAGGGCCACATGTGCGAGGGTCCAGCACTCCCCTTGGTGCTACGCTCACCAGAGCACTCCCTGGGCAGGGGGCCTGGAGCCTGGCCTGGAGCCCCGGACCCTGGGCAAGGGGCCTGGAGCCTGGTTGGAGCCCCGGACCCTGGGCAGGGGGCCTGGAGCTGGCCTGGACCCCTGGACCCTGTGCTGGGCGCGGCCGGGGGTAGAGACCAGACAAGGGCAATGGGTCGGCGCCCTCTTCTCTGATCAGCACTGGGCTGGTGCCCAAAGTGCCAATGGGCCCTGTGGTGCTGACTGCTGCCTGAGGGAGGCCGGGTCTCTGCCCAGAGAGCTGGCAGCCTTAGGAGAAGCGACCTGGGAAAGGCTGGGGAGAGCGCAGCGGCATGGACGCAGATGGCTCTTGTCTACCTGCCCGTCCCACCATCAGCCCTTTTCTCCCACCCACCTACCCCACAGTCCATCTCCCCTGGGCCTGGCCATGAGACGCTGGCTGGTTTCCTGCAGGGCTCGGTGATGGTACAGGGGTGTGGCTGTTAACCCCAGCCTGGCCCCTCCCTAGGCCGAGCCGGGAGCCCTGCAGCCAGCCTGGCCCCAGGGGCGGCTCGGCGTCAGGTCTGAGGCGGTTCAAGAAAGAAACGCCAGCCTGCGGATTGGGTCCCTGCTCTGGGCCGCAGAGACACGGCCATGTGCTGCTGGCCTCCCTGTGCGCTGGCACTGGCTGGCGTGCCAGTGAGAGCACCAGGGGATTGCCTGGCAAATAGCCCAGAGCCTTGGGTTTACCCCCCTCATCTCCTCTCCCCTCTCCTCTCTCTCCCTGCAGGCTTCAGAGGACAGCTGGGACTGCGCCCAGTGACTCCCCACTGAAACAGCTCCAGAGCCGGCTCCCTTCCTCCCCGAGTCCAGCTCCTCCTCCTCCCCCGTGGAGCTGTGCTCCCCCCTGGAGCCCCAGCCTGCCCCCACGCAACCTCAGTGCTTCCCCCAAAAGCCAGTCACTGTCCCGACGGGAGAGTCCTTCGCCCTCCCGGCAGCATAGGCCAGGGGCTGCCCTGCAGCGAGTTCAACCGTCTCCCCGCCCTCAACCCCGAGTCCTGGCGCAGGGGCTGCTGGGCGATCCCCCGGCCTCCCCAGGCCTGGCCAGGAAAGGACAAAGAGGGAAAACCCAGACTCCGAGCCCAGCAACCAAAGGAAGGCAAGTGTCCGCGGAAGGCAAGGCCACGGCCAGATAATGATCTTCTGCCGCCAACCCGTCAGGCTGGCTAACTCCTGCGTCTAGTGTACACTGAGCTGCCGTACACGCCGGAGCCACGAGCGGCTCGCAGCTCGCTGCACTTCAGCGCTTCACTCCCTCCCACGCCCACGCCGTCCGGAAACCGCTGCCCCACCGCGGGCTCGGCCGCAGCGCACGCTTGCTATTGCAAACCACCAACCAGCGCCTCAGGCAGCCTGCCTAGTGCCTGACCCCCCCCCCCGCCCTTTTCTCCTGCTCACTTAGCAATACCAGTCTCCACTCCAGCGCGCTGACACGTGAGCTTTAGAGAGCAGCAGTCGAAGTCGGTGGAGAGGGGACCGGCGTGGGCGCTGCGCCCACTGGGAGGAGAGGGCTCTGGAACTGTAGGGAGCTGCCCCCCCCCCACTCCAGTGTGTTGTTCCAGGAAGCCCCCCCCCGCCTCGCCTGCTGTACTTGCACTGACAGTGGTTACAACCCACCTCCTGCCCCGCGAGCCAGGGAGCGCCGCTCGCTGAGCAAGGAGAGCAGGCCAGGCGGAGAGGAGCTGCAGGTATCTCTCAGCAGGCGGGCGGGGAAGCGCACCTTTACCAGCTGCTGCAGGGAGCCGGGCACCGGTGCTCAGTGACGCCCCCAGGCCAGTCTGTCTGTGGCGGCAGGTGGGTTTGTGTGACCAAGCCCGGGCTGCACTGACAGCTTGCCAGGGGCCCAAGGGCTAGGGGGGCAGATTGCAGCCACCTCCATCTAGGATAGCAAACTGTGCCCCATGGAGACTACCGGGCCCAGCATGCAGCAGTCCCGGTGCAGCCGAGGGGGGGCCAAAACAGCTTTTCCTGCTGTCCCCAGCCGCAGCTCCACACTAAAGAGGTGGGTGTCACTGAATGCCTTTTGTGCGGGTGCCCCTGCACCGAACTGCCTTGTGCTTTGTCGTCACACTGCCAGGTGGTGGTGGGGGGGGGCTGCACAGTGGCTTTACCACTGCAGGGGGGTGACTCTTGTGTACTACAGACAGGTGCTGCTGCTTTGCAGCCAGAGATGGGCCGGCCCGTTACTGATACACTAGCGTATAACTAGCTGATTTGGGCAGGTGGGGTTTATGGCTTCCTCCGCCCGCACTCTCAGCCCAAACGATGTGAATGTAGTGGCAGGGTCAGATTAAGGCCCCAGTTCCGGATGTCACGTGACCCCTGCCGACCCCCAGCTCTCATTTTAAAACCCTTTTACCCTTCACGGCTGGGAAGCAATGCGCGAAAACCATGAGCCACATGTAACCGATGCCGCAATGTCTGCCTGAGTCTGCAGAGAGTCGGAGAGAGGCAAAATGTTCCATTCATCTCCACGGGGCCAAGGCCAGGCCCCACGGCTCTGGGGAGCCCTACCTGCGCCACGCCAGCACTGGGAGCTGAGAGCGGCAGAAGAATACAACACGTGCTGCCCGCCCAGGCCTGCAGAGGCGCCCAGCTGCCGGTGTAAAGATTCGGTGCGTGGTAAAGACTAATAAGGCCAGGGCTGGCCTACAGCGCGCTCTGGCTCACAGGGTAAGGGAGCTCACTGCAAGACTAGGCATTAAAAACAGCCAAATGCAAGGTCATATTCCTGACAACCAAGACTGCAGCTCACACTTCTAGGGGTCATGCAGGGCTAAACGGGAATATCAAGTAGACACGCGGGGTGGGCTGACCTCTCTGTACAGCATGAGCAGAGTTGCCAACACTTGCAATTTTAGTGTCTCTCCCTCTCTCATTATTCGGGGTTTTCCTTGAAGCCTCCGTTGCTGGAGCCATGCAAATCTCAGCCTCCAGAGTTTTTTAAGCCGAGCGCTAGACCTCCTGGTTTCGGACGGAAACGTAAAATCGTAACCCAGCGACTGCCTCCAGGCCCAGGCCCAGCAGGCCCAGGGAAAGCCCCACACCGAATTGTTTAGTTAAAGGTCAGACGTAACCAAGCCCTCCTGCTTTTAGGCTGCGTGGGCTTCGGGACACAGCATCAGTGAGCCCATAACTGGCCCCTGTGTCCTGGGCTTGGGGGGGGGGGGGGGGGGGGCCACACGGCCAGGAGCTGTTACACATTGGAAAGGGTTCAGAGAAAAGCCACACACATGTTTAAATGGCTGGAAAACCCTCCTGCCAGCACCGGGACTGAGCAGCAGGCTGGCACCATGCTCCTTCCATAAACCCTGCCTGCCCCGGAGCGCCTGCCTCCTCCGGGTTAGGAGAGACACAACAGGCCTAGGCAGGGGGACATGGGGAGGGAAATGCTCTGAGTGAGGGGCAGAGCCGGCCCCAAGGCTAGGAGAGCAGAGGCAGCACAAAGGGCCCTGAGGCTGGCCAGAGGGAGGGCAGAACGGCGGTACACAGAGACTGACCTGATCGGGGGGAGGGATAGCTCAGTGGTTTGAGCATTAGCCTGCTAAACCCAGGGTTGTGAGTTCAATCCTTGAGGGGGCCACTTAGGGATCTGGGGCAAAAATCAGTACTTGGTCCTGCTAGTGAAGGCAGGGGGCTGGACTCAATGACCTTTCAAGGTCCCTTCCAGTTCTAGGAGATGGGATATCTCCATTAATTTATTTACTGTGGGCGACGGGCAGCAGCAGCCGGGCATTGTATCCGTGGTTCAGGCAGTGTGTGACTATAAACGGGGACAAACTCGCTGCCGCGTGGGCCGTGATACCTCACGTTGATGCCAAGGGCAGTGGGCTGGGGCCCTGAGCCTGCTGCCTTCTCCCACTGCTGTCTACCCCTCGTAGCTTCTCCAGTCCCTGCCGTGCCCCTGGCCCCAGGCTGTATGCAGGCTGGACATACCCACCCCGTTAGGAGGCCTTGTCTACACACACATGTGCACTGGTTTAGTTAAGCTGGTGCAGTCAAACCCGTGGCCACCCTGCCGTGGACACGCTTGTTTTGGTTTAAGCCCAGCTTACTGTGGGTTCACATAACCTGTTCCCAAGCAACTTTAGCTGAACGGCAATAAGCCCCTTTTACACTGGGTGCTCCACCTCGGGGCTGGCACTGATTTAACTAATGGGGTTCCGTTTACACCTTTAGCCCAGTGCACCGTCTCTCTGTATTCACACCCCGGCAGGCACAAACGTAACACAGCGCGAAGGCCAGTTTGAACCATGAGCTGAGCGTCTGCACCCCCTCCCTGCCTCAGGCTAGACGCCCACCTTGGTGAGCGGAGCAGGGTGACGGGCTTCGCTCGCCTGCAGGGGGCCAGCCGAAAGCTACAGGCAATACACCCATAGCGGGGGCTTCTCTGCAGGCCCCCCACTGCCTCTCCAGCGTTGGGGCCTAGCCTCAGGTACGCCCCTCGCTGCCCAGTACCCGCTACCGCTGCCCCCATGCAGTCCCCTTGAGGAGCAGCGGAAGCAGCTGTACTGGTGGAGCCCAGCCTGCATGGGAGGGGGTTTGCTCTGCTCCAGGCTGCCCCCAGGCCAGTAACAGCGGTGATGGCGTCATTGCCCCAGAGCATGAGGAAGCGCACAACACGCGGTGATCCCGAGTGCCCGCCCCTGGCCAGCGCTAGCTGGGGGCTGCTTTTTATCTGCCCCGGGGTCTCACCAGTGCAAAGCTGTTAAAAGTGGGGCTAGTTCCCCCTCAGAGATGGGCTCTGCGTCCGCGTGGTGGCTGGGCTGTAGCTGATGGCCAGAAGCCGGGCCCGTGGCCCCCACCTTGTGTGCGCTATTCAGTGCATTGTTCCCTCCTTCTAGCAGCTTTGCTCCTGGCGGGGCCTGTCCAGTCAGTCCCTCTTGCTGTCTTGGGGTTTAGGGGCTGTCAGACCCTGCAGACCTTTCTGAGATAGCCCCTCTAGCCAGCCCCTGCAGCCAGCACTGCCTGAGGTGGGGGGAGGGGGAGCTTGCAGAAAGAACAAGGATTTTTCCTTCCTTTTGTTCACACACCTGTAAATAAACAAAGTCACACCCTGTACGTTAATGCGCCCTCAGCCCACGGCGCGGAGCCACCGGTGTGGCTGCTGCTGAATTCAGGGCTCTAGTCTCCCCTTTGGACCTCAAACCTGTCCCAGCAGGAATGGAGGTGAACGCGCCGCCCCTGAGCCGTGAGATCACCCCCGCACCAGCGGGCCTCTAGGGTGCTTATGGGGCCCCCGCGGTGCTCACTGGCAGAGACTGGGGGGGCTTGCGCTGTCCCTTACACCATGGAAATGCTCTCCTCCCGCTTACACCCACTGGAGTCAGCCGCACGGCCGGCCCTGTATTCCCTGAGTGCCGGCAGGGAGCATACATGGGGCTCAGGGGGATTGTGAGGGAAAGCCAGGGAAACAGTATCTTTGGAAACAGGTGTCACTGCCCCGGTGCTGTATTACGTGCTGGCACCTTTGTCGCACTCTGTCCGAAGTGATGGCACCTGGCTCTTAACTGCAGACGCTACACCTGGAGCAACTCTGTTAATTTCCTTCTCAGCCAAGCAAAGTGTTCGGACCGGGAGCCAGGCCTTCTGCTCCCCGGTCCTGTCTGCTCGGCCCTGCTCCCGGGGCCCATGGCTCCACCTCCATCCGTTCTGCGCATTCGTTAGGAAAGCCACTCTAGAATGTTTACACATCGCAACTAGAATGTACAACTACCACCAAGGACGGCGAAGCTGGGCTAACTGCATGGCAACCGTCTCAGCCATCCAGCCTGGCATGCGTCACAGAGACCCTGCTGTGTACAAATCCACCTGCCAACCGCCGGATCATGTCCTGGACCAGCTGATGATGCATCAGACGCAGCTGTCATCATTAGATTTGTTCTGAAAAGGGGATTGTCAATCATGCCATTAAAAGCCTGCCTATCTTTTCATTGGTGTCTTCTGCCCTTTATTTGGTTTCATGCAGGTGATGTGCTGTTAGGGAACGGAGCCCATCTCTTCGCGTGACAGCAGAAAGGTACCTCTGGGAAAATCCCGTTACATAAAGTTACAGGTGTTTCAACCGGAGCCCGGAGTGGTTTCCCAGTCCTCTAGCTAGGGTCACCTCATGGCAACCTGCCCCCACTGCATCATTCCCAAGTTCCCCAGAGAGCTCAAAGTTTTCTGATTCCTCTCGAGGTCTCCACAACAGTCTGTTCTCCCCTCCATACTGCACCCACTCCCCATCTCTCCGCTGTACCCAGCCAGAGCATTCCCTGAGTCCCAGGCTTTGCTCAATGGCTACACTCCCTACCTATGGGGACTCTCCTTAGCCCCTGCAGGCCCAGCCTTGGGTGAGAGAAGGGTCCTCAGGCCCTGGCCGCTCCCTGCTGGGTCCACTCTAACCTATGCTTCATGACTTTCCCTCCTCAGCATGCCCAAGCAGACGCTGCTCCTCTGCAGACTGTGTTCCTTATGGGGAGCAAGGCTGACGGCCCAACAAGGGAGGAGAGGGGTTTGAGAGCCAGAATGATTCTGAGATGTCTGGGGGAAGGAGCGTGGCAGCAGAGTCAGGCATGGAGAGCGAGGGCCTTTTAGCCAGCAAGTGCACATCCGTCTGCGATGCATTCAGGTGGAGGAACCAAGGGCTGGTAGAAGCCTACATGCCTTGTGGACATGGATGAGCCCATTGACACCGTGTACTTCAGAAAGCCTTAGACCATGTTCCTTCACCAAAGGCTTGTAAGCAAAGTGAGCGGTCCTGGGATCAGAGGGAAAGGCCTCTCCTGGATCAGTGGCTGGTTAAAAAATAGGAAACAAAGGCTAGAAGTAAAAAACAGAGGTAAATAATTTGCCAGAGAATGCTGTGAAGGCCACAGGATGGTGGCCCTAGCCTCTGTTTGCCAGAAGCTGGGAATAGGCGACAGGGGATGGATCACTTGATGATTCCCTGTTCTGTTCGTTGCCGCTGTGGCACCTGGCATTGGCCACTGTTGGAAGACAGGATACTGGGGTAGATGGACCTTTGGTCTGACCCAGTATGGCTGTTCTTAAATAACAGGGTCCCTCAAGGAGCTGTCCTGGGACCGGTGCTGTTCAACATACTTATAAATGATCTGGAAAAGGGGGTAAACAGGGAGGTGGCAAAGTTTGATACAAAATTACTTAAGTCGAAAGCAGGCTGCGAAGAGCTACAATGGGATCTCGCAAACTTGGGTGACTGAGCAACAAGATGGCAGATGAAATGCTGTGTTGAGAAATGCAAAGTAATGCACATTGGAAAACAGACTCCCAACTATTCATATAAAATGACGGGTCTAATTATCTGTTACCACTCAAGAAAGATCTTGGAGTTATTGTGGATAGTTCTCTGAAAACATCCACTCAATAGGCAGCGGCAGTCAAACAAGTGAACAGAATGTTAGGAAGAGGCTAGATGACGGGATGGATCACTCGATGCCTTGTTCTTTTAATTCCCTCTGAAGCGTCTGGTCCCGGCTGCTGCTGGACGGCAGGACATTGGGCTAGATGGACCATTGGGCTGACCCAGTCTGGCCGTTCTTATGTAGCTCCAAGGCGGGGGTGGGATCAGAGCATGAGTCCTGGGTGCAGCGCTCAGCCCCGCACAGGAGGAGGCGGGGAGTGGGACATCCCACAGGGGGACAGAGGACAAGCTCTGAGCTGGGGGGGTTCCCATGTGGTAAATGGGAAGGAATGAAAAGGGGATGGTTGGAAAAGCAGGATTCAAGACATGTAGGCAAGAGAAGCGCTAGTAGTGGCCTGCTGCAGGGCAGCGCCCCGTGCCCCTCTCCAGCCCCCCGAAGGGCCTCAAACCGCTCCCGCCCTCTGACTCTCAGCCTGCCTCACCTTACAGAAGCATCCATCAGTCTCCTGGCTCACACTCCCTGGCCCTGCCTTGGAGCAGAGTCCGATGGCCCCGCACAGTGGCAGGCGTCACACAAAGCTGCCTCGGACCCTGTGCCATACGTCCTGGCTTGCTTTGTGGCAAGACCAAGTTGCATGGCACTGCCCTTCCCAGGCCTGGCTGCCGGCGCTGCCGTGTTTCCAACACTGGGACTGGTGGGGATCAACTGGCTCAGCTCCGGGTGAGACGCTCTGGGCCAAGCCAGCGGCTGGGTGCGCGCGTTGAGGGCCTGGGGGTTGCTGTCCTTCCCAGAGGGGTTACATTCCAATGTGGGCAGACGTTTGGAACCTCAGGCCATGGGGCGCTCACAGATCAGTTGGCTATAGCGGGTTGCAAGCACTAGGTGCATAACAATACAGTAAGGAACCAAGCTTCAGTGACTGCGCAATGTGGTGACTGCAGCCTTAACCCGAACGGGTCTCAGGTCCCACCGATTCCCCATTGCCCACAGGCTCAGCTGGTTCCAGGTGGCAGCTCCCAACCCCGGGCAGCGACTGCGGGCGGCTGTGCCCACGGTCCTGCCAGCTCCCAGCAGGTCTGTGTGATTCGTGTAACGCCACTCGGCAAGTGGGGCTCAATCCTGCTCTCGGTGAGCTGGAGCTGGAGACCTACTAGGACCAAGCAGTGATAGGGGCTGTTCCCGCCCCCAACCCCCCCTTGGCTCAGCTGTCTGCTCTGGCCTCCCCTTTGGCCTGTGAGCTCTTGGGGGGCAGAGCCTGCCCCTTACTGTGCTGTCCTCCCCCAGCTCAGAGACCTAAAGGCCAGGAATTCCCCTTCCCCCGATCTGCCTCCACCTGTGCTGAGCCTGCAAGGCTCCCGCGGAAGGGAAGTGTCTGGGGGGCAGGGAGATACAGGGAGAGAGGAGAGGAGGGGACCAGCTGCTGTCCCAGGCTCAAGCTACCGAGGGGAGAGCTGGGGCCGGGCACCAGCCCAGACAAGGTGCCAAGCTGGACCCCAGGCCTGAGGCTCGCTCTGTGTACGGAGCAGGGGGACAAAGGCGCGGCAAAGGTGGGGGCTGGTTTATTTGCCGGCGGCGGTGTTGTGGGACGGGGGAAAGAAAAAGCCCACGCCAGGCACCGCGCCCGGACCCAGTGGGGCTGCCCCAGCAAAGGCGATGGGGCGGGAGTGAAGCCCTGGGTGGGCAGGGCGGCCGGACACACCCCATGAAAGGGAGCCGACAGAGCCGGGACACTGGGACCCTTTCCTGGCAGCGAAGGCGAGGAAGGGTTAATGGGGGCGCTCTGGGCCACAAAAGAGCAACTTGATAAAAAGAAACTGACATGAAATTTAGACTAGAAAAAAACCCAGATTAACGGTGCTGGCAGAGCACAGCCCGGCCTGGGATGAGCTTTCCACACAGCGCTCTGCCAGTGCCCCTCACTCCTGACCCTGCTAGCCCAGCCCTGGGCTCCACTCCCTCCCCACTGCTCTGCCAATGCCTCTCAGGCCTGACTTGATGCCCCTGGCCCTGGAGTCGTCCCCCTCCCGCAGCTCTGCTGATGCCCCTCAAGTCCGACCCGCAGTTTTCCCTATTACATGGTGTTTACCAGCCTCCTTGATTACTAACCGCCTAGAAAGTGTTGCAGCAGCCTCGTGCACTAGAACCTCACCCTGCTTCTGTCCCGAAATATGCATTAAACGCCTCTGTCAGACAAACCTCAGCAGCGCCACGTTACGTCACAGCTCATGCCCCCAACCTCTGCAGCCTTCTGAACTGAGAAACCTCAACGCCATAGTCCTCGGAACGGAGAGTAACCACATGGTCAAGCTCTCAGCAGGCTCTTCTGAGCTGGGAGAGGCCAGCTCTGCTCACATAAGATCTTTGTGTTCAGAGGATCCCCTTCATGTTATGACCTTATTTCAAACCAGGACTGAGGCCTGGAGTAAAATTCTCCAGTTAATTCTTGGTAACCAGGCACTGCTGCCATGCACGGAGCAGGACCTCTAGTGCTCTCACTTTGGAAGGCAGCTACTGGCTCTCAGCGCTCTGTCACAGGCCGGCACAAAGGTTCAGAATCTTCCTCTTTGCCAAGGCGTACTGGGTTCATCCAGCCGTTAGAGCCTCTCATGCTAGCCCGGCCCTTCTTCACAGCGGTGGTGGGGCTGCAGTCACATAGGAGCACACGAGTCATGCTAAAAGAGAGGACGAGCTCTGGAAAGCGAGACGTGTCTGTGGCCAGAACTGTTACACGTTTCTCCTTCCAACAACTCTGACGCTGAAAGAATCCAGCTGCAAGTGGCCCCCTGGACCCCTAAGAGTGCAGGATGTCGCCGCTTGGAATCGCAAGGTACCAATTCCAGCTCCAGGGGACAGCCCCACACTAGCTCTGATCATGGGAGCTCACTGAACAGCAGTGGTGCTGCAGCAGTGCATGTCGTGGGAGGGACTGGAAGTACCTCAGGTGGGATCGGACTCGGCAGCTAGCCCCTCCTGCTACTCACACCACTGCAGCAACACGTCTATTTTTAGTGAATTCGCTCGCTCCGAGCTACCCGGGGTACGTCTCCTTGCGCCGCGAATCACAGCCCTGCTCCAGGTGCCGACACACCCTAGTCAGTAGGGCTATTGGCCTTGAATGACCCAAGCAAAACTTTGTGCTAACCCCATTACAGGCAGGAGACCAGCATGAAAAGGGACAGAGCAATAATCCTTTAGCCTTCACTGCAAGAACACAAAACGGGAGGGAGAGCGGAAGGACACCAGCGGTGACAGCAACATCTCCATCACTTTCAGGTGAATGTGAAATGGGGCATCAGCTTTCCTTTCTCAGCTCCAGTTGCGGGACCCTAGTGCCGGTACCAGGTAAAAGCTGCTTCTCATGAGTTAGTGGCTGGTAAATCTTGGAGAGGCATTTCCCACAGGCCTGGGAAGGATTCTTTTCTCTCTCCCCACTTGCTTCTAGATGAGCACATGGCAAATGAGCAAACGGGATTTGTCTGCACAACTGTTCTGCTCACAGATCTAGCTCAAGGGGCACTGTCTGTTTGCTTCCTGCATTTTCAGTGTTTGTACTGCTACTGCCTCAA